AAGGGACTATGCTCCCTCCCTCTCACGACCCTTTATTTCTTCAACAACTGGATGGAACACTAATCAAACTGACACGGAAACAAGTAAACCAGCACACGGGCAAACAAAATTTCATCACATCACTGAACAAACACTGAGACCAGCACGGGAATATAGCGGTAACAGAGAGGGGAGGGGAGACGGGCAACTTACAACATCACTCAGGGACTTCCACTTCTCACCACCGGCCTTGCCAATCTGCAATTCGATGAACCCAAACCAAATCAACACACAGAATTCACAAGGAAACTCATCACAACACCAACAGTTTGAACGAACAACACGAGACAGAGGAAGGGGTGAACGGAACGGGATTTGTCCCCTTCCCCACGTTATGGTTAGGCAAGGGACTATGCTCCCCTCCCTCTCACGACACTCTATTTCTTCAACAATTGTTTATGTTCGAGTAAATATTATATCGTATAATTACCATGTGTATCTATAATCACATATGCATAGTGCATTAAGACCCTAATTGATAATAAAAAGGTTTACTTTTGATGTTTATGCCTTTATAATTTTGAGAAAGCGCAGGAGAGCTGTGTTTCATTATCAAAGAAGAACGGCGGAAGAGCGCCAACTATACAAATGGCGAGCCAAGTCGCCTAAAACAAAGCGAAGAAAAAATAGGAAAAGAAAACGAGGCAGAAGAGCAAGCAACTACTCTCGCGTCATCAAATGTCTCCCCCGGCCAGCAGCCAGGCCATGACCTCATCCTTGATGCCTTGGAGTACCACTCGCACTGCTCGATCTGTTCCTCTGAAGACTCGGCAATTCCGCTCATTCCAAATGGACCAAGCAACCAACAACACCAAGGAATTTGCACTCTTGCGATTAGCGGCTGCTGCTGAAATGCCAACAAGCCAGTCTATCGTGCTATCAGGCGCCGGCCAGTTCCTGTAATTGGTAGGCCGATGTTGTGGAGAACGCCCCACTATCGGTGAGTTTCCAGGCGAACTCGTCGTGGTCTTCCGAAAGCTGCCCCGCTGCATTAACCTTGGCCCAGAGGTTGACAAACTCGCTCAAGTGGTCAGCCGCGATGCGGCCCTGGACGTCACGCACCCATGCGCCGCCGGTCAAGGCACCGCGCACTGATCGTATCTTTCGCCGAGATAGCTGGGGCAATCAGGCATGGCGCCTCACTCTGGAGCCAGCTATCAGACGAGAAGGACGTCGTGCGCCCGTCCCGCACCTGCGCATTGGTCGCCATGACAAAGAGCGCACGTTCCTGGTTGGAGCAGGGCACCGGAAGCCTAGTTCATGGCCGCTCCGGGGCGGCACGCTCAAGCCAGAGCCAGCGCATCCGAAGCGCAACCCCGAAGCAGTCAAGATCAAGAATCCCGAGCCCCCGAGCTCCTCCGGTCTGTAGATTCTAGCCCATGCCACCTTGCAATGGCCTCCATGGCATGCTTCTTCCCCCTGCCACAATCAGGCTCTCCTAATCTTGTCAACTTGCAGGTGTACCCAGACTGGCAATACATGCACCCACATCCAGTAGATTTTGAACGCCGACAACACCGCATTGAGCAGCACTAGGTGCCCAGCTGCAGCCAAAAGCTTGAATTTCCAGAAAGCCAGCCGAGCCCGGAGCTTGTCCAGGAGCGGTTGGAAGTCAATCTTTTTATGTAGATTACGAAGCGAAAAGCGGAAGACCAAGGAAATTGCGAGGGAAGTGTCTCGTCGGCGTTCCCAGCGACCCCACCACATCAACATGGAACTTTTCACCATGGATTGGCAAGATGGAGCTCTTCGAGAAGTTGACCAGCAGCCTTGTGGCCTCCCCAAATGCACACAAGAGATCGTGCAGCGCCGCCACCTCGGCCCTCACGGGGTTGATGAAGATAGCCACATGTAAGACAATAGGCTTTGGGGGGAACCGGCACAACCCTCTAGGGGTGGCCTATCACATATATATATATATAATGAGGTGGTATACAACGTTACAATATACACATGTAAATACAGTCTAACACCCTCCCTCAATCTTAGCCACTTTCTAATGAATCTAGAAGGATAAGATTGCGCCTGCAAGTCTCAAACTGTGGCAAAGGCAATGGCTTGGTGAAGATGTCAGCAAGTTGATCCTTGGAAGAAATAAACTTGATCTGTAGTTGCTTCTGAGAGACACGTTCACGCACAAAGTGATAGTCAACTTCAATGTGTTTCGTTCGGGTATGGAATACCGGATTTGCAGAAAGGTATGTAGCATCGATGTTATCACACCAAAGAACAGGAGGCTGTGACTGGGGTATACTTAACTCCTGAAGCAAGGACTGTACCCAGATGATCTCTGATGTGGCATTGGCCACAACCTTATACTCAGCCTCAGTACTGCTACGCGAGACAGTAGCCTGTTTCCGAGCACTCCAGGCAATCAGGTTAGAGCCAAAGAAGACAACATAACCCCCCGTGGATCGCCTGTCATCCGGATTGCCAGCCCAGTCTGCATCAGAATATGCTGAAAGACAACCAGAGTCAGACGGCCGAATATGCAAACCATGAGCCACCGTGAAACGAATATAGCGCAAAATCCGCTTAACAGCAGACCAATGAGTGTCACGGGGTGACTGCAGATACTGGCAGACTCGGTTAACAGCATAGGAAATGTCTGGTCGCGTGATCGTCAAGTACTGGAGCCCACCAACAATACTCCTGTACTCTGTCGCATCAGAAGAAGAAAGAAGCACACCATCAACAGCATTGAGCTTATCAGTGGTAGACATGGGTGTAGTCGTCGGTTTGCACTTAAGCATCCCAGCTCGCTGCAACAAATCCAGAGAGTACTTCTTCTGCGTCATAACAAGGCCAGCAGCACGAGAAGTAACCTCCACACCAAGAAAGTAATGAAGCTTCCCAAGGTCCTTGACCGCAAAATCAGCACCAAGTGAGCGAACAAG